GCCCTATTTATACAGGGGCGAAGATTGTATGGATAAGTTCGTTGAGAAAATGAATGAAGTCAGAGATGATGTAATAAAGAAAATGAAAGAAGTGAAAGAGATAATCATGACTGAGGACGATAAAACAGATTTTGACACTGCTACTAAGTGTTTCGTTTGTGGAAAGGGCTTTCAGGAAGGGGATAAAAAAGTTAGAGACCATTGCCATTTTACTGGTAAATATAGAGGTTGTGCTCATGATGATTGTAATCTTGCTTTCAGTATGAGATATTATAAAATACCAGTCTTCCTTCATAACCTTAAAAACTATGACGCTCACTTAATCATCAACAAGGCACACGAACTGAGCAAGAATGCTAAAATCGATTGCATCGCACAGAACAGCGAGAAGTTCATAACCTTTGGTTTTAAAAACCTTTGTTTCAAGGACAGTTTTAGCTTCTTATCGTCTTCGTTGGATAAGTTGGTAAAGTTGAGTAAGTATGAAGATGATAAAAGGCGTGAGAACTGGAAGAACAATTTTAGATACAGTGTTAGAAATCCATATGTTAAAACCGATGAAGATTTGGACTTGTTGACTGACAAGGGGATTTATCCTTATGACTATTTTGATAGTTTTGACAGATTTACTGAAAGAAACTTACCATCAAAAGAAGCGTTCTACAGTAAATTAAGTGAGGAACATGTCAATGACAAAGATTATGAAAGGGCACAAAAGGTTTGGAAACACTTCGGTATTAGAACATTAGGACAATATCACGATTTGTATTTGAGAACCGATGTTTTATTATTGACTGATGTTTTTGAAAACTTTAGAGACTTATGTATGGAATACTACGGTTTGGACCCCGCACACTATTATACCCTTCCTAACTTCGCTTGGGAAGCTATGTTGTTGAAAACTGGTGTTGAAATTGAGCAGTTGCATGATAAAGAAATGTATGAGATGGTTGAACAGGGAATGCGAGGAGGTATGTGTCAGGTCAGTCATAAACTGGCTGAGGCAAACAATAAGTATATGGATGAAGCCTTTGATGAAAGTAAACCGTCAAGTTATATCAATTACTTAGATGCTAACAATCTGTATGGTCTGGCAATGTCTCAAAAATTGCCTTTAAAGAACATCAAATGGGCAAAGAAAACACCTAACATTGAAAAGTGGGATGAAAAAGATGAGTATGGTTATATTATGGAAGTTGATTTGGATTATCCAGAAACACTACACGACTACCATTCGGACTATCCACTAGCACCGGAAATAATGAATGTCAATGCTAATATGTTGTCAGACTATCAAAAGGAAATCTACAAAATCTACTATGGAAACAAAGAACCGAAGGATGAGAAAACCAGCAAGTTAATATTAAATTTGAAAGATAAAGAAAAATATGTTGTTCATATCAAGACTTTACAGTATTATCTAAAAATGGGTATGAAACTCACCAAGGTTCATAGGATAATAAAATTTCAACAGAGGGCTTGGTTGAAGCCGTGGATTGACTTCAACACAGGCAAAAGGAAAGAAGCGAAGAGCGACTTTGAGAAGGATTTGTTTAAATTAATGAATAACGCGGTGTATGGAAAAACTATGGAAGACAAAAGAAAACATATGGATTTTGAACTGGTAGATAATGATGTTAGGTATGAAAAATGCGTGAATAATCCTACTTTCAAAAATAGATTTATCATTAATGAAAATCTGGTAGGAGTGGAAAAGACAAAGTCGGTCTTGAAACTTGATAAACCTATATTCTTAGGAATGACAATTTTGGATTTGAGTAAATTACATATGTATGAGTTTTACTATGGTGTGTTGAAAAAGAAATACAACGAAAATATCAAATTGATATATACCGATACTGACAGTTATGTAATTCAAACCTTCACTGATGATGTCTACAAGGATTTTCAAGGTATCAAGCAACATATGGATTTTAGTGATTATCCTGTTGAACATCCATGCCATGACACAACAAATAAGAAGGTCTTAGGAATGTACAAAGATGAAGTCAACGGTAAAATCATTACTAGATTCATCGGGTTGAAACCTAAATCCTATGCTTTCACAATCCACGGCGAGGATGAGGAACACAAGAAATCCAAAGGTGTCGTCAAGCACAAGGTTAAAAAGGAATTAACATATCAGAACTATCATGAAGCACTGCATCACAACAAAAAACATGAAATCTCCTACAACTTTATTAGAAGTCGCACTCATCAGATATATTCAATGAGTCAGGTTAAGCAATCACTCAGTAATTATGAAAATAAAAGACATTACTTAGATGCCTTTACTTCTTTACCATATGGACACTACGCTATTGCGAAGCAATAGCCTAGTGAGCTTCGCGACACTACACAATAAAGTAAATATCTAAATAATTCTAATAATATGAAATTATTAGAATTATTTAGTGGTACAGGCAGTGTTGGTTTGGTCGCTCGTGATTTGGGATACAAGGTGGCTCGGTGAAGTCTCCCCTTGTCTTGTTTGAACCCTGACCAAAACAGGAAAAACACATTGCTCCCTTCAAAGACCCTTCAAAGACTCACAGTAACGGAGAACGCATTTTTTATCTAACCTTCAGGCTGTCTAGGTCTTTGGTCACATCAGTTATGATACACTTACACCACTCGAAGCAGTCAAAAAGGGGAACGTGACCGTATCGTAATCATGATACAAGCGTATCGTTTCCATGATACATGTGTATCATTTCAATGTGAAATTGATACAAACGTATCGTTTCCATGATACGTGTGTATCGTTTCCATGATACATGTGTATCATTTCAATGTGAAATTGATACAAGCGTATCGGTCTTTCGTTAATCTCGCCATTATATTATTTATTAGAAAGTAACTTATCAACATAACCCCAAGCCCCATATCATAAAATAAAAACTACTTAAAGAAAAAATAACATAATATATTACGTGAAAAATGCCAATGATAGGAGTGACAGAAAAAGAGCTGGAACAGGATAGAAAGATAATATTGAGTTTCATTAAGGATAATCCCTATCCATCATATAAACAAGTCATTGAAATAATTAAAAACGATAAAACAATGGAAGATATATATCTAGATATGTTCGTCGAGTATGGAGAACAAAATCATCAATGGATAAAAGAGATTTACGAAAACATAATGAAAGAAGAACTCGTTAAACATAATGGTAATAGTATTAACGAAAGAGGAGGAATGACAACAATGCATTGTAATTATTATACTTTGATATCAGTGTTGCGTTATTTAATACAACAAAGAGCACCAATGAAAGATTATGACGTTAACTTAATCTGGTATAATATCAGAAACATCTTGAGCAGCTCTTGGAACAATATAGGAGACTGGAAACACTGAAAACAGGTTTAATCATATTATCTATAACTAAACCATAATTATATCATTTATACTCTTATATGTTATAATTATAGTGAACTTTTAACCTATGAATACCCCTGAATTAATTTAAAGACTAGACCCCTTAATATTTAAGGATATATGACTGACAAAAAGCAGTGTTCAAAATGTAAAGTCTTTCAACCGCTAGAAAGGTTCAAAGAAGAAAGGAAACAATGTAATTTATGTCTCGAAAGCAAACAGAGATACAGAGAAAGAAATAAAGAAACACTTAGCCAAAAAGCGAAGGAATATTATGAAAATAATAAAGAACACAAACAGCAATACCAGAAAGAACACAGTAAAGAATACAACCTACGAAAAATTGAATGTCAATATTGTAGGTGTATGGTCTCACTTAGTCAGAAAGCAAAACACGAAAGAACCAAACAACACATCAACAATGTTAAGAATCCAAAGCCACCAAAGACTGAAGAAGCAACAAAAGAATACAAACAGCAAACAACACAGGAAGAGATAAGATATTACATTGAAACCTCATCAGATTTTGAATATGACATAAACAAAGAATAGGAAAACCAGAAGACCCGCCAACACCCCAATCGATGAAACTACTAAAAGTACTAACCTCTTTCAAAACGAAATAAACCATCACCCCGAGAAAAACAAAATGAAACATGGCATGAAACATGGGTAGTGAAAACGAATAAGATGGTTAAACTGTTGAAAAACAATACTCCAAGAAATCCCCCAACATTTGACATTTTCCCCTTAGGACCAGCCCTTTCTACATTTTTTCCCCCACGCCCTTAAAACTGGAACTGGGGAAGGGGCGCGGGTTTTCCGGATCTCCAATTCTTGTCCTTCTTTCTTTTTCGGCCCGGGGGGGAAGACTGGAGAAATGGAGGTCCCCCTTAAGGTATTAGAAGGTACTTGAAGGGGCCAGGTGCAGCAGGTAAGTGGTACGCCTTTGGAATTCACCCACAGGGAGACTAGTTTCCACGGCTCTGGGGGTGATTTCACCCTTACACTCACTTGCTCAGCTTTTTTCTGGGACCTCCATGGTAAAATAAGTGCTTTGTCAGAAGCAACTGCTTTTTCACTAAACTGCGAGCACAAAGTTCGCAATCATGGAATCTCGGACAATTCTGTAACTTCTGCACTCATGAGTGTTTCGCAAAAAAAGCGGATTTTGCCGGTCAGAAAGCGGACCGTCCCGGTCTAAAAGCGGATTTTCCTGCCTTTAAACACGCTGCCCGCTCCAGGAAAACTGGGGAAGGAAGCAGGGCTTGCAAAAAGCACATTCGATTCGAAATGAAACGACGGAAACTTATTCATGTTCAGCAAACGACAGAAATGTTACACATCGGAGGCTTGCTTCTTTTCATCATGGGTCAGAATGGGGTTAGCCCAGTCATTGGTGGGTTATAACCCAGGTGGCCTTTTCCACTTACTAACTAGGCGAATCGAAGACCCAAGTAGGGATCTCCGGCCCAGGGTCGAAATCCAAAATTTCGTACGCCCAGTGAACATCCCAATCCAACCACTGACATAGGTTCGAAAATGGGTGGTGGAATTCAGCGAAAACCCACCAGAATTTGGGATCCCATCAATTGGTTTTGACCCGAATCGTTGAGGCCCCGTGTGCCGCTGGGAGCTGCCCACAGACAACAAGGAGTTCGAGCAGAGCCGCGCCGAGCGCATGGCAGGCCGCGCCGGGAAGCGGCAGACTTCCTTCGGGGCGATTTTTCTTCGCGTCAAAGGCGTGTCTCGGGTGAGCTCGCTCGAAACCCGGGTAAGTGGAGCCAAAGACTAAAACATGCGGTCCCCTGGTGGTTTCATTTTGACCCATATATGAGCCACAATCAAAACCCGGGTAGATGAAGGTCAAGGGACACTCCCCTGGCCATAAATAGCTGCGGATCTCCGGCTTCTTAATTCTTGAAGCATGGTTCTGGGTAGACCATTTTAATACCGGGTTTCGATTATGACTCAGGTGTTTTTTGTCCTTTTCTTGTTTTTCTTCTTCTTTTTTTACAAACTCAAAAGGACCACCTTTGAGGACTTAAAAACAGGTACCTAGTTGGTTTGAATTGGTTTGGATTTGGATTTGAAGCCCTGGCTCTTGAGGGTGAATGGGAAACCTCTTAGGCAGCGAAACCGAAGGAAGCAATTCTTTGCTGGTTCGACAGGCAGGGAAATTTACAAGCGGAATGCTGGGACACCTCTCCAGCCACCTTTTCAAACCATTAGGGGGAAGCTTTGGTACCGTGCTAAATGGGTGTGGCTCAAAATTAAAGAGCTGGAGGTCCTAGCAAGTGTTAGACTTTGTGCCCCTTTTTTCCAAGGTGCACTCTGTCGGTACCATTTTTTCAGCCACACCGAATGATGTCCATAGGCCCCATCAAAATTGACAAACATATGTCTAGTCATCACCTTCTTGGCCTATGTGAGGTGAGTGTCCTTCTGATATTTTAGACGCCGTTTATCTTTAACCCAACAATGGTCAGGCAACCCCTCATTTCTATTTTATTTTTAATGGTTTTTGGCTTTGACTTTGAACCTCTGGCTCTGGCAACGGGAAACCCAGAACCTCCAAAAGGCCGGGCTCCAAGTCACCAATTGGGGGAAGCTGAGCCCCAGCTCCTTTTGAAACATGGGAAAGGTAAGCCCCAGCATCCACCAACCGAAGCCCATTGGATTATTGGAGTCTACTGCATTTACGCTGAATTTCCGAAACATTGCAAGAAGAGGATCCTGGTAACTTACAATATATCTTTGTGATTCTGGTTTACTCACTTCATGAGTGGATTGGCCAAAACAAGTTTGGGAAACCCAAGTTCCTTTTGAAACATGGGAAGGTAAGCCCTAGCATCCACCAACCACCCTAACCCACCCCAAACCCTAAACCACGTGGGAAGCTGAAATCTTGGTTGCTCCCAGCCATCCGGTTCCTTAGCTTTTTCAGCTTTTTGCCGTGTAGTGGGGTTTCCAGTTCACCCTCTAACAGTTTTTCTCACTTTCAGCAGGGGATCCGAATCGGGCAGCCCAGAAGTAACCACCCTACAGCCTAAACCCTACACCCTGAAACCCTGAAACCCTGAAACCCTGAAACCCTGAACCCGTGGAGTTCCTCTTGAAACGGAAAGGTAAGCCCTAGCATCCGCCAATCAAACTAGAGAATGGTTTGTTCATCCACCAACCACCCTAAACCACCCTGAACCCCAAGCCTTAAACCCGTGGGAAGCCGAAAAACGGAGCTCCTCTCGGCACGGCCTTCTCGCAGGCCGCAAGGTCCGGCTGAGGCACACGGACCTCTCCGTGAAGTCTGCCGCGGAGCGAGCGGGGGGCGGATCGAATTTTTTGTCGACCGGCTTCCCGCGCCGTGAGCCGCGGAGATTCCCAGCCCCTTAAAAATGGAATTCGGGGAGGCGGGATTTCGACCTGAATTAAATTCCATTTCTGGTTTCATTTTCCATTTCCGTGGGAAGACTGGAGAAATGGAATTGGGAGACCCCCCACTCACCTCCACCTTAAGGTAGGGGGAATCAACGGACGAGGTGGGTGGCTCGGTCTTCTTTGGAGTTGGTATCCCTCGCTTGGTCCCCCAGCTAGGTGCCCTTTTTACCTTTTTTTTGGGTTGGGAGGGTTCCCCTACTAAAATAGACTAGCCTTATTCTGACCTACCTTGCCTTGCTTGGTGGTTTTAAAGGGAACCAAGAGGAAACGAGCCATTTCGGGGGTGGGATTTCGGGTTAAAAAAGAGTCACACCCATACTAGTGTATGGTTGATTTGGGGAGGAGAAGGGGCCCCAGATTCCTTAGGTTCATTCCAGGGCGCCCTGGAATGAACCCAAGTCAATCATTAGTAATCTTGTCCGCTACTTTGGGATACGGGTCAAATTGACTCAGGATGAATAAACCCCTGAAGGATTTTCACCCAACCAGTGGGGTGCTTCCTTTCCGCCTTCATGTGTTTTTTGTCGAGAGGGCACTGGGCCGCGGGCACTTGTGTTCATGGCCACTGGAAATCTGGGACGTCTACCAGTTGCGGCCATCCACCACGGCGTTTGGAAGCCGCTCAAGGCGGTTTTTGGAATGGATCGATCGCAGATGAGCAGGGGTGACCTGTCTACCGCAAAACTTTCCATTTGCTGAAGTTTTGTTTTCCCGTTGTTGGTTTGAAAAGGAACTTATCACTGGACATATTTTTTGCAGGGCTCTTAACCAAATGGAAGAAAACAATACGCAAAACGAGCAAACGTGCAAGTCCCACCCGTCTCTTGGCCGTGCACCCTATAGGCTATAGGTGCTGATGGATTTTGTGCACCCACAGGCCTGCGGGTGTCATTTTTCCATTGGGTCAAACAAATAGCATGGCCCCCGAGACGTTCAAGCCTCTGCCTACTTCTAGATTTTCTGCAAAACCGCAGTTGGTTTCCACAAGAGGACCATGAAACAATGTGTTTCCGGCCTCGGCCGACCTCTTGATTTTCTGCAAAACGACAGCACCGGCTGGTCTCCCTTTTCAAGTCAACCAAGAGCCGTGATTCCTCCACAGGAAGGCAAATGGTTTCAACCATAAGCACGGGGCTTGTGGTATTTTTAGCAGCGAGCAGGCTACGGTGTGTAGCAGGCTACTGCAGGACAACCAGCAGTGCGTCAAAATGGGTTCGTTTTTTGTTTTCTTTACTTTCCCTTTAAAGCTTCAAGAAACCGCACCCAGAAACAGTCAAAACCATTATGGCCATCCCTTTTGGTTCTGAAAGCAAGCAACACCCAAACAATACACTTGAGCTTCCAGGACCCTGCAAAAGCAGGTCTTTGGCCGATTTTCCATTTGAAACCTAGAAGAGCATCAAGAAGTTGACCTTTCTTTTGCGGGTTGGAAATGACGGTCCGGTCCCAACCCTCCCCCCTTGGAGCTTCTTCTCACCAGGAGCTGCGGAGATTCGCGCACTTCCTCGGCGTAGAGGTGAAGGATTGCCTGGAGAAGGCGCGGACCTGGACCCTCAAAATTCTAACTGAAAAATGGGCTTGACCCCCAAAATGATGGTGGGTGATCTCCCATTTTTCTGGGTAGCTTGAGGGTCCAGGGAGTTGTCTCGCCTCCGGAGCTCCGTTTCGGGTTTTCGACCTTTTTGTTTTGGGGGGGGTTGAGTTGGGCCTTTTTCCCAAATTTTTCGTGGAAAAGGACATCTTAGAGGGGGTTGGAGCAGTTTGGCGGTGAAGAGAAAAGCTCTTTTGAACCAGAAGCGATTGAAGTGAAATGCTGATATTGTTCAGGGTCGGACATGGCGGGAGATCCAGGTGTTCCCCAAATGGGTGTCCTCTACGGGACGTGCGAGCAAAACACTCCAGGAGTTGAGTAATCAATTGAGTTCCCATTACCCTCCCTCCAATCATGGAAGCTACCTGGACCCTCAAACTACCCACAAAAATGGGAGATCACCAACCATAATTTTGGGGGTCAAGCCCATTTTTCCGTTGGAATTTTGAGGGTTCAGGTACTTCCTTGGAAACCCCTCAAAAGAAAGTCCAGCTTCGAGCCCCAAGGGCTGACGTGTTGAAGCATTCCCTGCATGATCCGGAGCCGGCCAAGACCCCGCCTCCGACTCATGCCATTTTGCAACCAACCTTCAAGGACACTGTAAATACCGTCAAAATTGCTTCTGGAAGCTGGCGGCATCCCCGCCAACCCACCATCCCACGCATCTTCGCCAACATCTCCAGCATGTAGCGATGCTTGTGATCAAGCGAGTGGGGCTCCCACGCAAGCGGAGCAGTTGTCCTTTGCGAAAACATGTTTTGTTTTTTCCTTTTTTCTTTTTTAAATGTTTTTTTGTGGTTTTGCCTGGGCCTTTGTACGGTTGAGGGGGGATGCTGGGTCTGCTTGGCTTTTGGTGCGCGCTGCTCGGCGGGTGGGCGGGCGGGGGTGGGTGCGAGGGTGCGAGGGTGCGAGGGTGGGTGGGTTGGTGGGTGCAAGGGGGAGGGTGGGCGAGCATCCCTTTGCCACATGCAAATCCTGAAAGGACCCTCACGGAATCCTTTGTTTTGCCGATTCCTGGATGGGTGGAATCGCATCCGCCGCTTTGGCTTTGAATTCCGGCTATGGGTTCCGCATTCTAAGGAGGCCTTTGCCAAAGTTAAGTTGCCATACCCTTTTGCCCAAAAACTCGAAACAATTTTGCATATTTCTTGGAGGGGAACACCCCCCAACATTAATCAAGGTTGGGACAAGTTCCCAGCAAACCACATGCACTAAGGGTAACCCAATTCAGCAAGGATTTATTGCGTTCCTTCTGTTCATTTTCAGGAGACTGCGGCTCAAAAGGTGATGCAACGCAACACTGTCTCAGCCCTTGTTTTTACCGGGATTAGACCAACCGACTTGGTCTCGGAGCGCGGCCGGTTTGTGCCGAAACGCGGCCGTCGTTTAAGTTTGGTAAGTGTCGACGGCCGGGACCAGCAAATGGGTGCGGCTTTGCCATGGGTGTTGGGCTAGACCCCTGAATAAGACCGGGTTTGGAACCTTACTGTGATCCATTTGTTTAAAGGAACTCAATACTGGTGTGTCTTTTCTTGAGGGTAACCTATTTTGGATGGTTTAAAACGGACACCAAAAGGGGACTCGGCA